ATACTGCCACTGAAATGATGCAAGCAATACTGCTACTGAAATGATGCAAGCAATACTGCTAATGCAATGATGCAAGCAAAACTGCTACTGAAATGATGCAAGCAATACTGCTACTGAAATTATGCAAGCAATACTGTTATTGAATTGATGCAAGCAATACTATTACTAAAATGATGGCAAGCAAAACTTCCACTGCAATGATGCAAGCAATACCACTACTGAAATGATGCAAGCAATATAACTACTGAAATGATACAAGCAATACTGCTACTGAAATGATGCAATCAATACTGCTATTGAAATGATGCAAGCAATACTGCTACTGAAATGATGCAAGCAATACTGCTACTGACATAATGCAAGCAATACTGCTACTGAAATGATGCAAGCAATACTGCTACTGAAATTATGCAAGCAATATAACTACTGAAATGATACAAGCAATACTGCTACTGAAATGATGCAAGCAATATAACTACTGAAATGATGCAAGCAATACTGCTACTGAAATGATGCAAGCAAAACTATTACTTAAATAATGACAAGCAAAACTATTACTAAAATGATGGCAAGCAAAACTTCAACTGCAATGATGCAAGCAATACCACTACTGAAATGATGCAAGCAATATAACTACTGAAATTATACAAGCAATACTGCTACTGAAATGATGCAATCAAAACTGCTATTGAAATGATGCAAGCAATACTGCTTCTGAAATCATGCAAGCAATACTGCTTTTGAAATGATACAAGCAATATTGCTACTGAAATGATGCAATCAAAACTGCTATTGAAATGATGCAAGCAATACTGCTACTGAAATTATGCAAGCAATACTGCTATTGAAGTGATTCAAGCAATACTATTACTAAAATGATGGCAAGCAAAACTTCCACTGCAATGATGCAAGCAATATAACTACTGAAATGATACAACCATTACTGCTACTGAAATGATGCAATCAATACTGCTATTGAAATGATGCAAGCAATACTGCTACTGAAATGATGCAAGCAATACTGCTACTGAAATGATGCAAGTAATACTGCTACTGCAATGATGCAAGCAATACTGCTACTGAAATGATGCAAGCAATGCCACTACTGAAATATTACAAGCAATATAACTACTGAAATGATACAAGCAATACTGCTACTGAAATGATGCAATCAATACTGCTATTGAAATGATGCAAGCAATACTGCTACTGCAATGTTGCAAGCAATACTGCCACTGAAATGATGCAAGCAATACTGCTACTGAAATGATGCCAGCAATACTGCTAATGCAATGATGCAAGCAAAACTGCTACTGAAATGATGCAAGCAATACTGCTACTGAAATTATGCAAGCAATACTGCTATTGAATTGATGCAAGCAATACTATTACTAAAATGATGGCAAGCAAAACTTCCACTGCAATGATGCAAGCAATACCACTATTGAAATGATGCAAGCAATATAACTACTGAAATGATACAAGCAATACTGCTACTGAAATGATGCAATCAATACTGCTATTGAAATGATGCAAGCAATACTGCTACTGAAATGATGCAAGCAATACTGCTACTGAAATAATGCAAGCAATACTGCTACTGAAATGATGCAAGCAATACTGCTACTGAAATTATGCAAGCAATATAACTACTGAAATGATACAAGCAATACTGCTACTGAAATGATGCAATCAAAACTGCTATTGAAATGATGCAAGCAATACTGCTTCTGAAATCATGCAAGCAATACTGCTTTTGAAATGATACAAGCAATATTGCTACTGAAATGATGCAATCAAAACTGCTATTGAAATGATGCAAGCAATACTGCTACTGAAATTATGCAAGCAATACTGCTATTGAAGTGATGCAAGCAATACTATTACTAAAATGATGGCAAGCAAAACTTCCACTGCAATGATGCAAGCAATATAACTACTGAAATGATACAAGCAATACTGCTACTGAAATGATGCAATCAATACTGCAATTGAAATGATGCAAGCAATACTGCTTTTGATATGATACAAGCAATATTGTAACTGAAAGGATGCAAGCAATACTGCTACTGAAATGATGCAAGCAATACTGCTACTGAAATGATGCAGGCAATACTGCCACTGAAATGATGCAATCAATACTGCTACTGAAATGATGCAAGCAATACTGCTACTGAAATGATGCAGGCAATACTGCCACTGAAATGATGCAATCAATACTGCTATTGAAATGATGCAAGCAATACTGCTACTGAAATTATGCAAGCAATACTGCTATTGAAGTGATGTAAGCAATACTATTACTAAAATGATGGCAAGCAAAACTTCCACTGCAATGATGCAAGCAATACCACTACTGAAATGATGCAAGCAATATAACTACTGAAATGATACAAGCAATACTGCTTTTGAAATGATACAAGCAATATTGCTATTGAAAGGATGCAAGCAATACTGCTACTGAAATGATGAAAGCAATACTGCTACTGAAATGATGCAGGCAATACTGTCGCTGAAATGATGCAAGCAATACTGCTAATGAAATTATGCAAGCAATAATGCTAATGGGATGATGCAAGCAATACTGCTTCTGAAATCATGCAAGCAATACTGCTTTTGAAAAGATACAAGCAATATTGCTACTGAAAAGGATGCAAGCAATACTGCTACTAAAATGATGCAAGCAATACTGCTACTGAAATGATGCAGGCAATACTGCCACTGAAATGATGCAAGCAATACTGCTAATGAAATTCTGCAAGCAATAATGCTAATGCGATGATGCAAGCAATACTGCTTCTGAAATCATGCAAGCAATATTGCTGCTGAAAGGATGCAAGCAATGCTGCTATTGAAATGATGCAAGCAATTACTGCTACTGAAATGATGCAAGTAATACTGCTACTGAAATGATGCAAGCAATTCTGCCACTGAAATGATGCAAGCAATAATGCTAATGCGATGATGCAAGCAATACTGCTTCTGAAATCATGCAAGCAATATTGCTGCTGAAAGGATGCAAGCAATGCTGCTATTGAAATGATGCAAGCAAGTACTGCTACTGAAATGATGCAAATAATACTGCTATTGAAATGACGCAAGCACTACTGCTACTTAAATGATGCAAGCAATACTGCTATTGAAATGATGCATTTGTTTGTTTGTTTTATTTTACGCCTTTTCCAACAGTATTTCAGTCATATAGGCGGGTAGTTTCCTAACCATCATTCCTGGAGAGTTATACCAGTACTAGACTACCTTCCTCTTCGCTAAACTACCAAAGCATCTCCCGGGAATCAAACCCACGCCAGAGAGGTAACTGGATTAGAAGTCATCGACTCTAACCCCTCAACCATGAAGGCGGTTTGAAATGATGCAAGCAATACTGCTACTGAAATGATGCAAGCAATACTGCTACTGAAATGATGCAAGCAACACTGCTACTGAAATGATGCAAGCAATACTGCTTCTGAAATGATAGCTGTAAAAATGCTACTGAGATAGAATGATGTTACTGTTTAACTATAAATGTGAAAGCTGCATGCTTCCAGATGAGCCAAAATATTTCAAGAAAATCAAACTTGAAAAAAAATTCCCAAAGATTTTAACGTTAAAAAGAATCAAGACTCAAGTAATAATTTACATGTAATCTGCGATTAAAGACTAATTTTGCAATATTTATCACCATTTTACTGAGTTACTAACGTAGTAAGGGCTATTTTCGCAAATTTTGACCTCTTTTTGGTATTTTATGTAGATTGTATCAGCCGTTTGCAATTGTAAATTACCTTCTTTGTTCACTTTATAAAATATTACTTTTAAATAATTTTTCAGAATTTTCATGATAAAATTTGCATAAATCTGGAGGCATGGTGCTTTAAGCATAATTTGAATGATCAGCTATGAAAATGATTATTTTTATTTCTTTTATCACATTCTATTTATCATGTTATTGGTTTATGTTCTCTAATTAAGAGCCTACCGCAACGTTTCAGCTTTACTGGTGGAGGAAGACCTCAGGTGCCTCTCCGTGCATCATTTCAGGCACAAACAAGCACCTGAGTAGAACCACCAATGTTACGTAGGCTAGCTGGATAGCTTCCTCACATGAAAGAATCCAAAGTCCCTATCAGGATTCCAACCCACAGAGGTGAGGGGCAAGTGGTTTGAAGTCAACAACTGTAACCACTTGGTCACGGACGCCCCTTGAAAGTGAAAGTGTGAAAAATAATATTCCAAGAATTGACTGATTAATAACTATATTGCCGGACGTTAGAATTTTTTTGGAGGGAAAGCATTGCAGTAAGACTACATTAAGACATCACTATCTTAATAATCAATTTCTATAACACAAGACGGTTCGAAACAAACCAAATAAACTGTCAAAAGTCCCCTTTGTAACATCTAATAATCTTAAGGACTCTTCATTCACTAGTAAATATGGAAATACTATGGCGGTTTGACTTTAATCAAAAGATCTTCCTTTACAAGCAAATTTGGGAACACTATGGTAATTTGACTTTTATCCAAATGTTTTCCTTAAGGTTGTTGCCTTCAAACCACTTGACCTTCACTGCTGTGAGTTCCAATCGTGACAGGGAATTTGGATTCATTCATGTAAGGAAGCCATCCAGCTAGCTTACAGAACGCCTTTTGCACAACTCAGGTGTCCGTTCACGTCTGAAATAATGCACGGATGGGGGACTAGAGGTCTTCCTTTACCAGTAAATTTGGAAATACTTTGCTGGTTTGACTAAAACCCAAAGTTCTTACTTAACCAGTAAATTTGGAAATAAAATGCTGGTTTGACTAAAATCTAAAGTTCTTCCTTAACCAGTAAATTCGGAAATACTATTCTGGTTTGACTGAAATCTAAAGTTCTTCCTTTACCAGAAAATGTGATTATGCAATGCTGGTTTGATTTTATCATGATAACCTCAAAAGGTTTAAATGTAACAATCAATTGTATAATACATAGAATATAAAACCAAACTTTTGGGTGGCTTATTTGAATCTATTTATTCAATATTCTGAGATCATTGAAATATTTTCATGGCTTGCAAATCAGACAAATACAATAACAAATAAAATATACAATAAACTATACATTAAGCACCAATAGGCATGTCATAACATAGCATTTCTTTAAAGACATATCTCAATATATTGTCTTATTCTAGAACACCAGGTCTAGAAACAGTACAGTCACACCTGGGTTAAAAACTCTGAATAAAGACCATCCTGTAAATAAAGACCACTCTTTGACAAAGTTTCACTCATAAAAATACAGCTAAGTAAACCTCAAATAAAGACCACCTGTCTTTAAAGGTCAAATATTGTCACTCCTTTGGATGGCCTTTTTTCACAGGTTTGTCTGTACAAGATAATTACAAATCAATATCTTTGATACAGATTAACATAGTTTAAATAAGGATCCTAATATTTTCCTCATAATGTATAATTATACAAAGCTATACATGTTATTTATAATTAGTAGTATCAGGCAAATTTTAGTCAAGTTCACATAAAAGTAAGCATTGTTTAGTCTTTAATCTTTTTTTAAAAAAAACTTGAGGATTAAAATATATTTTTTTAATAAATCATCACATAATTTTATGTCATTAAAAAAATAAATAAAACAAAAACAATTATGTCAAATAAGACTCTCATACAAGCACATGCTATAACAGTATGATAATTTGTATCAATTTCATATACAAGTAACATATACAAGTAACATAATATTATACAAGTAACATATACAAGTAACTCCAGAAATTAAGAAATCTTTCAAAAAAAGAAAATGTCATCCAGAAAATTATGACAATTAAAACAAAATGTATAAACACATGTAATTAGCACTATAATATATTCTAATATTTTTTGCATATTTTGCCATTTCTAACACATTTTACATATGGCAATCCGGTTCCTTGATAAATAATGTATAAAGAAAATGTTAATTTTACAAGTGAAATATTGTCTTTCTATATATTACATCAAATAAACTGGTATTCTTCCTTCAACATTCTAATTTGTTCTATAATATTATCTCTTGTGTTTTTGATAGTTTTCTGTCCATACAGTTTCCATTTATCGCTTCTGTTAAAACATAGCAGCAACTTCAAGTTTCTCCTAGATGGCTTACAGGTAAGACCTAGAAATGAAAAAAAATACAATAAACTGAAAATGTTGAAAGTATATATAAGATAAATCTGTTCAAAAGATTTATTTTTCTTTCTGTGCAAGCTTTACTATTATCTTTATAGGCATATGTAATTTTTACAATTTAAAACCTTTATTTGTGCACTTAAAGAAAATGGCGATTTTCCAGAATGTTTAAAAAATTATCTCTAAAAAATGACATAAATTATTCAAAACATTGTACATATAAAAAAATTTCCACTGGGTATAATAATCAGTTACCTGCAGTATATGTCTGGTTTAATAGCAGTTTTATTTCTGAAGGTATTGATTAGTCTCCCCTTTGTTTAATTAAATTGCAAATACATAGGATTTTAATTAGAAATACTATGCCATTCCCTTTCTCTTTTTTCTTTATCAAGATAAAGCTGTAACTAAGGGAGATGATGGGAAATGGGAAACCAGAAGAAGAAAAAATCAATCCACTGTCAAATAAAATAAAGATAAGTTTTTTTTTAAAACATCTCCAGACAGACTTCATTTTGAGACTAGAATTGCTAACATGTGATTAAAAAAAACTGATTTTTTTTCAGATTATGTTTCCTAAGTTTCCCTTTTTTTTCTTGTCTTGATATATAATACATGTACGTTCTTTATTTCAAAACAATTTGGGTGGCAAAATAAGTTTTGTATAGAATGCACATCTTCATTCACATTTTTATACACTTGAAGTGGTTTGAATTTTTATCATAAAACAATAAAAAAACCAAGTTTGCATACCTGACTTGGTGTCCCTGTCAACCAACTCACTGTTAGTATGGGAGCCTACTAGGAGGTCAATTGGTGTCATTCTCCACTAAAAGCCCCACTGAAAATAAAAAGAAAATAAACATAAAATTTTAGATCAAGTATTCTGAAACTTCAGAAATTTATAAAATTGATATTCTTCTTCTGAAAAATTGAATTGTCAGACTATTGTCAGATTATTGCCAGTTTATTGTCGGTTTATGACTGACAAAATTCACGATAAATTTTTACTCCTTTACTATGATATTAAAAAGAGTTTCTTTAAAATTAATTTCTAAACTTTCAAATTTCAATGTCAGGGGGTCAAACTGCTGAACTTACGATGTTGGTCAAAGTTTGTCTTTAATTATAAATTATAAAATTAATGACAACAGGATTTAAGAAAATATTTAAATTCCGGTTAAACAGCAGGTAGACAGTGATAAGGCACATCAATATGTAATTAGTCAAGATATATAGTTATCCTCGACTTATTATCAGCTTTTGAAATAGAGAGGAATTTCCTCAAAACTGAGATATCGCAGTTGCAGGTATGAGTCAAATTCACCTAGCTGTATATACAAGAAGTTTATGGCAATGTTGCAGTAATCGCTGCTGAAACTGCTTAAAATCCATAATCATAGTATTCCAGACACAAATTATCATCAAAAATGAAGGAAAAACATAAAATTGTGTGTTTATAATTTGCGTAAAATTTATCTTATCTGTAAAGTATTGAATATATCACATGGGACAACTCATTTGTAAATATACATGACTGATTTACATTCTTGTTACCTTTTGCGACTGTGATCTTCCCGCGACCCTCTGCTGGTTCCAGTCATATTGCATATCCCTGTGTCCCGGCAATGTTGAGGTGCTCATGGAATGGCTTTGTAATGACACATTTTAGCGTACTAACTTGAACAAGTCACTGATTTTTTCAACAGCTTTGACCTTTTTGTGTTTATTTGCCATGTCAATTGACAAACAATTTCTTTTTTAATCTTGTAACATTCAAGTTTTTTATAACAAGATCAATATGACATCTGATATGTTGTCATTAATATAAAACATGTTTTAACACTTTGGTACATTTTGCGGAGAAATATTCTGATAAATTATTATCACAGATTATTAGCTAGATTTACGTGCAATATCGTCACAAAATTTCCTCGGACTGTATCGTGTAGCTTCCAGAAGTCGTAGTAGAGCAATTATCATCATCGTCTCTATGTAACATTACTACTGGTGTTTTGTCGAAAAATGAATGAAGAGCCGAATCTCCCGTATAATCCATCGGTCCTAACCCACCGTAATAAGCACTGCCAAATGATGATCGATTCTGACTCATATTGTTGTACAGACTCGGAATTTGGTCTAAATTTACCGAGCGTTGAATGTTTAAATTTCTGTTTAAAGCAAGGTGACTGTGACTAGATTTGTAGTCTTTGTGTGCTAAGTGGGGTTTACGAGTCCATGGCTGTTTAATATATGAACTGGCGGGCTGGTTGTATGAATCCAGCTGTACATTGTGGTAACTGTGCTGTGACTCGGGACTAGATATTTCAAATAATTTTGGATCATCTGAAAAAGAAATTGAAGAAAATGATTATAAAAGATTTAAAGTTTAAAGTATATAAATTTGAAAACTGTCAATTTTTTTTATTTATAAGATTTTTAGCTTTATTCTTGTTCTTATAAAAAAAGAAATTATATAAAAAAGAAATATCTAAGAAAATAAAAACCAAAGGTTTATATTAAAACAACATGGTGACACTATTTTACATGTTATCAAATCTTTGAAAAGGAAGTAGGTAAAAAATAACTCACCAGCAGATGGAGTACTGAACACATCATCTTCTTCACTACATCCTCGACCACTGTCGCTACCAATTGTCTCCCCTGAACCATCGCTATGGTGATCTTCGTGAACTATGGCTCCATACTGCAAATATTCAAATGGTTACAATATTACAATTATGCTTAAAAATATATTCTCTTTCTCTTGTTTTAAGAATGAAAATGTATTAATATAAAACTGAAAGATGATCTTAATTTATGAATAATTCAACGGAAACTTTTATATTATTACCATAATGTCAAAACTTAATGATTAATAATAAAAAAACCACAAATTTTAAGTTTACCTGTTGCTGTTGCTGCACCCATTGTTTTGCTCGACTCTGAAGCATTATTTGTTGTAACTTGATTGTTTGTAACTGGGCATTAGCCTCGTTTTGGAGTTCTCTAGTGTCAAGGACATTTTGCTGCATTTTCATTGGCTGTTGTTGAGTGCCAGCCTCACTTTGAAAGTCTTGTGAATGAAAGGTACCATGAGACAAGTCAGTGTGGGTAGAGTATCGTAAGGATGACTGAAAACAAAAAGTACATTTGTATTATATATTTGAAAAAAAAATACAAGAAAAAAACCCTAGTATACAAGTACAACATGTACATATAATATAAAGATCTTAAGTTACCTGGTTAGCATGGCGTATGATACAATTTCTCTGTATCAAATGCTAAACTTTCAATTTATTTATCTTCCTATGCTTTAAGATAAAGCACTTTAATTTCATCTCTATCTTTTGTTTACATATGATTCAGTATACATGTTTTTGACAGATCCTTTCAAATTATAAAATTACAAAACCTAAAAATTTGAATGTTCATGTGAGAAAATTGCTGTACATTATTAAGAAATGTATGACAAACTATACAGTATATTTGGGGTAGGGAGTCTGGCTGCCGTAATCACACAATACCAAGCTTATCAGATCATTCAACGGTCTATAAATTTTCTTTTCAGTTTGCGTATCGCTAAATAAAATTAAAAAAATCAAAGGGAAAAAAATTATTGCCTAAATTTTTTTTTCTGTAGATATAATCGAAAAGAATTTATCTCACGAGATCAGAGATTTCTGTTTAAATGTCTTAATTTTCCCTTTGTATTGGCGGGTATAATGTATAAAATATACTCCTGAATTATGAAACCAAATATTTTTACACTGATTACAAAGATTATGAACTATTAAAACCATGCACATTTCACTCCATTATACCTTTAGAAACTCATCTGCTAATTGGACCAAATTATGGCCAATTTAGAAAGAATGGTACAAGTTAATACACCAAATTTCATTCATCATGATTAAGTGCCAGCCCGAGTTAGTATCAGCAAAGAAAGAAAAGTGAGAGTAGCGTCAAAATGACCCTTTATGTGCTTTATTCAAAATTAAAACAGCACAATTATCGGGTTCATCAAAACTGAGCCTCCATTTTTTTTTCACCATTATAAACCTCCATTTCATTTCGAGATATTTCACGAAATAAAATTCGATATTCAACTGCAATTTGAAAACAGCGTGAAATGTATAACTCCTATTGTGAGACGTACTTGATTGTAATTTTAGACACCACATTATCTAAAGTTTGTTGGATAACACTCCTATTCATATATGCTTTTTTCAGGTGCAATTCATATGCTAATAATTAACTATTTAATATGGAAAGCTTCCCAACAAAAAAATTAATGCAAGCTTTTATCATTCTGTAATATGTTTTGTCGGTCCTTTTGAAAACGCTGCATAAATTAAGATTTAAATTACCATTTCTTGTACTGATATCCTGGTATATTTATTAGTTAGGCGTTATTTTTTTTTTCTTCAACTTTTAATTAAGTCCAGAATTGGTTACAAGCATTGAAACTAAACAAATAAGATAAGTTTATTGCTTGACACATAATCTTACACCCATTTACATTTGTACAATAAAAACCTGTTATTCAGGGAATTGATTTTCAGTAAGTAAATACAAAAGATGTACTCAAGAAATGAAAGCTATTATTCAATGTAAATATTATTAAGAGTTACTGACATTATTTGAATTTGTTTCCAAATTGTAGTTTCTAAAAATATTTACATTTATGTAGAAATTATTGTATAATTGTCAAATAGTCAAACTCTTTATACAAGTTAAGTTTACTTATTACAATTGTTGATTGTTTTGTTTAAACTTGCAATTTATTTTATTCAAATTATATGTCTTGAAAATTTTTGGACAATTCAGATATCAATTTAATGTTAATGAATAAGATCTTGTTCACATGATACTCAATAGGTGGCATGGCCAAGTGGTTAACATGTTGGACTAGTAATAAAATGATCGCAAGCTACATGGGTTCAAACACTGTCTGGGGCAAGTTGTTGTTTCCTTGAGCAAGAAACTTTATTCTCATTCCTCAGTACTGGTTGGTTCCAGAAACAGATTCGAAAGTGTGTTTATAAGTGTGTCAATCAAGCTAAAATTAATTTTGTATAAACCAAATGATACTCATTTATGTGTAGTGTAATATACAGAAAAAAATATATACATACCTTTGATGGTTTATCATTTGATGACATTGAAGTATTCCCCATTTGATACTGCTGATGGTAACTGAACGAATCATTGTTGTCGAGGACGAAGCTCACTTCCTTCTTTTTGATAAGGTCTTGACCTTCACCAGAACCGGATGATAGGGTATCGGCAGACAGAATAGTATGGTTTTGTGTAACTTGGCTGAATCCAAAATCAGAATCAATAGTATTTGTTGAATCGTCTGCTTCTTTCATTTTACGCTTTCTGTCCAAGGTACGCAGGACAAGGATTACTGCAATTATGGCACCGGATATCACCAAGGTCACAATCACCACGGCAACAGAAATTATGATGTATTTAGAATTGCTTGAAGCATCGTCAGGTCCGAGGAAAGTAGCATTAGTGTACTGTAGATTGATTTCAAGATTGGTAACAGTCTCAAGTGGAGGCTCCCCTTTGTCAGATACAGCGATGTCAAGACGCATTTCTCTGTTGGAACCGATATCAATTTGATCGGCAAAATGTAAAGCACCAGTATCTTTGTTGATTTTGAAGATACCAAGTTCATTTCCAGCCCTTATTGAATACTGAAGATCCTTGTTAATCCCATCATCAAGATCGTAAGCTTCAATGGTTGTTATATATTCGCTAATGAAATCGGGATACATTGCCGTTACGCTTTTATTTGTAGGTTTCGGAAATGTAACAATTGGGCGATTGTCATTTGTATCTTCAACAACAATAGTTACATGAGCCATACTGCTTTGCTGAACTTCACCGTGATCTGTCACAACAACAACAAAATCATATCTACTCTTTTCTTCTCTATCAAGCTGTTTGTTTGCTTTTAAGAGTCCATCAGAAAAGAGAACAAACGGGACATTGTCAAGGTATTCAGATTCAATGGAAAAGTCAAATTCTGCATTCACACCATCATCTAAATCAAAGGCTTTCAACATTGCTACATCAGTTCCAGTCGGCTGGTTTTCAGGAATTTTAAATCCATGAACTGTCTTGTTGAACATTGGGGGGTTATCATTCATATCTGTCAAGGTAAGAGTAACTGTAGCAGTGCCAGTAAGGGAAGTTGGAACTCCGTCATCAATAGCTAGAACTCGGAATATAACTATTGGTTCCTTTTCTCTGTCAAATATAGCATTGACCTTAACAACACCAGTGTTGCTATCCACAATGAATCGTCCCATAGCATCCTCATGCATGGTGTAATGAATAATGGCGTTTCTTCCTTCATCAGGATCAGTGGCAGAAACTTTCATCAATTCTTCATTGCCTTTGTTGTTTTCAGTTAACTTTGCATTATATTTTGGCTGAACGAAACTTGGTCTATTGTCGTTATAGTCTGAGATACGGACAATGAAATGAGTGCTTCCACTCATGACTGGTGTACCCTTATCGTAGCAAATTACTGTCAGATTGTATGCGTTTAGTACTTCTCTGTCTAAAATAGCATTCACCACAACTTTAAATCCTTTGTCCATGGGAACAACTGAGAAGTGACTGTTTGATATTTCACAGTTTACTTCTCCATTTAAACCACTGTCTTGATCTTCAACATTAACGTGAGCAACGAAACTTGTATTTTTAGCATTTTCCGAAATATTAACAAAGCCCGTATTTCCCGGTGAGATAAAACTAATGCTGACCATTGGAGCATTGTTTCCGTAGTCTTCAATATGAATTTCTACCTCAGCTTGAGAAAATAATGGCACTGCACCATGGTCCACAGCCTCCACGATAAATCTGTATGTCTGCCCAGCAACTGTTGATAGGTCGGATTTCACTTTAAGTTCACCACTTGTTTCATCAATTATAAAATATTCATCAAGAACATCTCTGTCTTTCTGGAACTCACCAATTCTATATGTTACCCTTCCATTTTCTCCAAGGTCACTGTCATTTGCTTGAAGGGTAAGAACCGTTTCCATCACGGCTAAATTTTCTTTGATAGAAACATTGTAAACAGTTTTTGTAAATTCTGGTGTATTGTCATTAATATCTAAGACATGAACAACCACTTTTAAAGTTCCTGTATTTGGGGTACTTCCACCATCTTTGGCGACAATTTCCAGTGTGTAAGTTTCTTTCTGTTCTCTGTCGAGGACCTTTTGCAAGACAAGCTTAAGCATAAAAGTTCCAACGTGATTTTTACTCACGATGAGTTCAAAGTAACCTTGAGATTCTTGACTAAGAAGGAGATGGTAGGATTGGATAGAGTTATTCCCGCCTAAATCTTTATCCACGGCTGGAAGAATATTGTATGATCCGGAACTGGTGCCTTCAGTAATATTTAAATGGTAAACGTCCATGGAAAACATTGGAGAATTATCATTTTTGTCTTCAATGAATACCTGAACGGTAACAATTTGAAAGTAATCATTATCCTTAGATTTCACCGCCACATCAAACACGATCTTGCAGATGACGTCATATTCACAAACACTTTCCCTATCAATCACAACCGAGGTAAATATATCTCCACTATCATCGTTAATACTAAATAACATGCTGGCATCGGTGGGCGGCAAAAAGGTATACAGTAAAATCGAGGTCGTGTGGTTAATGAATGACTTGCTTTCATCTGCGATATTTCCAACCCGTCTTCCACTTGGCAGTTCCTCTTCAATGGTGAACTTTATCATTGGGTTCTCGGCAGCATTCACTATGATGAAACTTGGTATGATGAATGTGATGAAGATTATGGCAAAACAAGCCATGGTTATGATGATTCTCCGCAACTGTCGCTGTTATTTCATGAGCAAATCGGGTTCACAACTCTTCTGAAAAAAATACAAGAAAAAGAAACAACATTAAAAACAGTGTTTTATAACTATTTTTCTCCTAAAAATTTTAAATACTCATGTAAGCATTAAATGTATGGTACAGTAGGCAACAATGCTTCAATAATTCCATACTAGTAAGTGTTATTTCTTTTCCACTTAAAACATGCTCTAAAATCATCTTAAAATACCATATAAACTTTATTGTAAACTTGAAACTACTCTAAAATTCAACCCTCTTTCTTTAAAACTTTAAAATATAATTAAGAAATTTGTGAGTTGATTTGAATGGTTTGTTTATACCAATTTGTTTAATTTAAAATCATCGAAACACATGCAAAATCTCGAACAATCAATATAAACCATTTACACTGCTTTTAGTTTCCCGTCAAAACTCATCACTTGTACTCGATTAGCATTCACTTCAGGTTTTACTAACTTTGTATTCAGAACCCAATTTCAATGTTTTAATAAAATCCATTACCACAAAATCACTAATGGTAAAAAATTCTTTTACCTCTTTTTTTTTTCTTTTCAAATAGATTTACTCCTTAAAAGTTAATTCATTTTTTTTTCTTCATTTCTGTACTGAAGTATTTTGTTTAATCCACTGAACAAATGCACCAATGAATTTATTTTGAATGTAACTGATGACTTAATCGGATGAAAATTTATAACAAAGTTTATAGCATAGTGTGTCTTACAAAGCACGTGTTTTTGAGACCAACATCTAAATCAGTGAATAAATACAGAAGTTTATTTAAACAGTTTCTCAGTTGGTCCTTACCTAATATTTTTATTCAATAAACACTATCCCTATTCTTAAATCCCCTTAAGTGTTTCTTGCAAAGTACACATACTATATTGTAATGGAATTAATTGTCCGCTGTGTCAAGTTTAAAATGCATATTTACAGAATTTGTATCCACTTTTATTCTCATTTTCACCAAACAATTCCCGCTGATGGTTTCATTAAAGCATACAGGCTTGAGTATATTTAAACAAGAATTTGTTCCTGTCTTGTTCAAAGAGCCCTCAGGGTAAAATGATAAATGCCGAACCTGATTCTTCAGTTAGAGAACTAAACCAAAAGGATCCAAACGAAAATCCAGATTATGCAATATGAGACAATATTTTCAAAGTGTGGCTTAAGGAACAAAGATTTAGTGCAAGCTCTCTGTAAAGAGGGTATTTCAATAGGTAAAACATTATTTCTAGACATAAAGATAGTAGAGGGATAAATATATTGATACCCATAATCCTGAATTCAATTTACACCTTGTGCGATGAAAGAATTTTACAATTTACTGATAAAAACATTGAAAATTTTCAGATAACATGTCGAAATCATTGAATGCTTGCTATTGCATAATATTAACATTATTTCTAAAGAAAGATTTTCATCATAAATGATTTAGACTGTCAAATTAAATAGATAAAAATAAAAGTAAATAACATATACAAATAAATGAATTTAAAAAAAAGTGAATATTTACCATTATCTAGAAAGAATTCCAAAGTTCATTAATTTTATTAAAATCATTAACTCCAAAATTAACTTAATTTCATGTTAACTAAACACCTTTAACCACTGGTTGTATTTAAGAACACGTTCCATTATATAATGACGCTGATAAAATTAATCAAGTGCACTTCAATCCCCACTTATGGTAATGTGACTCAAAATAAATTTAAACCATAGCGTGTGTGAGCAAAAGCTATATTATCCTCCAATGGTAGATTTTCTGTGGATGCGATGAAGCGTATCGCACGAAAACCAATACAGTCTCTAAAACCCCTTATGATTTGGAATAAAGAGAAATATTATTGACTTCTATAAATTGAACCACCTCCTTCCTTTTCAATTCTTCGTTGCTCCAAAAGGATTTTCTTAAATACCTGCGTAAATTTAGTTTTTGGATCAAAGACAGGTGTTTTCAGCGTCACTCTATCTTACACTACCTAATATCATTTTGTCATAAAAACTCAAAACAGCATGTAATTTATTACCAGTATTTACTGAAGGAAAAGACACAATCTTTATAAACTTGATGAATATTTAATTACTGAATATATTCAAGGACTATCACTGCAAAATAAAAAAAAACTTTCAAAAAGTTTAAACTAGGTTCCGTTATTGACAAAAAATCTTTAGAATTTAGTACATGTACACACACCAAATATTGTGTAAAAAAAAAAAATAAATAAATAAAATAAAGAAGCAGCAGTTATTATATAGTAATACATATTTACATTTTTTCAATTATTTTTCTATATATAAAATTATACAGTAAAAAATAGTGACATTTTTTTAAATCAATTTTTTTATAACATAAATTGAGTAAAAATGACTTACCAATAATTTTATCATGAAAATTTATTATACTATTTTATAAACAGTTTTTTCCAAATAAGTATAATAGTATACAATAAAATATAATATTTATTTTATCCAACAGAAATTTTAATTTTCTATCTATACATTTATTTGTTTTCAATTTATTGTACATCCAAACAGATGACTTGTTGTAAAGTACAATGTTTTAAAACTATCAAAACGTTTTTATTTATACTAAGCAAGAAAGACACAGGAAATTAACAAAAAGGTCATGCTTTAACACTTTTCCTTATCATGGGAAATCAATTGTTTTTCAATAATTATACCACCTTATCTACATGTTGTTTTACAAATTGATTTCCTGCATAGACTACTGTTGTTATATCTAATTAAGAATTATACACTGTGCTAATTAAATTAAATTGAATTACAAACATGTGACCAAAATTAGCAACATCCTGATTTTCATATCATAATTATAAAATCATTCAAGCTACCAAAAAAAACCTTTTTAATATTTAATAAATGACTAAGCATTTTTTTTTTGAAAAATTATCATATTAGTTCATATTTGAACATATAAATACAAGAATAAAGATAATAAAATTTAAAATATGCTATAATATTATTTTTTGGGGTTAAATTCAAATATTTTTTTTATTGTGTAGTATAAATCAATATATAAAAATAATAGAAATAAAGCAAAAATCATACAAAATACAATACATGTACATACCATAAATTATATTCCAATATACTTCAACTACTAGATATATTAAGTACTTTCAAACAGTCTCTCATTTGAATCAAAATAATTTCCACAATATTGCCTTAATTGTTGTAATGTTCCTTTTTCACACACTTAAGTTTTTATTCTTAATCAAAATAAGAATAACTGATCATCAAAGTCAAAGCAACAACTTTATATCTAGCATCATTCTTTAATCACTTTAATTATGTTAATATTGATTGACTTTAATCAAACAATCATGAACAATTTCAGCAAAATCTTTCAACATTTGCTCATCAGTGTCACAAAATCTTTTATGAGTCAAAATGTTCAACAACATTGATTAATATAGCATCGTTTTTTTATTTTTCAACATTATTTCTTTAAAATCTTTTTTGAGTGAATAAAATTTGATAGTATCTCCATTGATCTTGATCATTTGAGTGATTAAAATCTATGAACATGCTTCTGAATGATCCAGATGATTATCATAATTGTTCTTTTGAAATTGTTTGTTTATTTATCCACATCTGTTGACAATAGGTCTTAATCCTAAGACTTGATTTGTTTGTTTACGGAAATTATTCTTTGATGTTTATAAAACTATAACAGTTTGTCTTTGATTGGTGGTATTTATATCAAAAGACTTTATGGTTAATATCTTCATTAGTAATCAAGAGGACTTTATTTATTGTTATACCCTTTTTATATATATTTAGAAATTAGGGACCTAATAAAAAATAATCTTATTTAGTACTTAACCCACCAAAAGTATATTCTAATTGACCAAAGAAATCTAAAAATCAAATTATTAATGAATTGAAAGGTTTTTGTATAAAGATAAACCATTATAATTATGCTATTAGTTAAAAAGCATAAATAATGGATTTTAAGCAATACACTAAGTATTGAAAACTTCAAAGAAAATCAGATTAGGTAAATTGCAATTAAGGATATGTCTGGGGATAATTCATTCAAAGATTATAATAAATCTTAACAAGAAATTAAGTAAATATTTAGAATATACATACAAGGCCATGGATTCTCACCAAAACCTGTATGTTTGACAATGCATTTCAATGCAAAATAAATACAGGAATATGTAAAAAAAATCTATTTTCAGCATTGGTGACCTTGACCCAAGTGATTGCAGTCCATCCAAGGTATAACCTGCTAAATATGGAAGAGTTTGGTCTATAATATGAGTTACCTTAGAGGAACTATAGGAAAACACAATCAAACACCGAACTACGCAAAGACAGAGCCGCTACTTTATGTGTTTGGAAATCTATTTGGGGGAATGGGGGGTAAAAACTTAAAATTATCGTAAATCTAGTACTTTTGTAATATTCATACCGTAATAAATATTTCATTTCTTTTTGATAAAGCATTAAGAAACGTCAAAAAGAAAGATACAACAATCATGCCCCATGAATTTTTGTATTGTTTACTTGTGAAATTGTATTAATTTTGTCTCTTTCATAAGATTTGAAAATTACATATAAATTACATCAAAACGTTATTTCCATCTGCATACCTTATTATTTTCCTATCAATTTCTAAGACGAAGCAACAATTTTCTGTTTACTCAGGGAATTAGCATTGATCAATGAAATCAAAATTATTAATTTTCTTATCACCATATTGTACATGATGAAAGGTAAAGTATAGGGATGTACTTAATCTACCAGCAAGATAAAGTGACATTATGAAGGTCAAAGAACAACCAAAGAAAAAGAACTTCAAAGTTTGCAAATTTACCGTTGCATTTACCCCAATTTACCCAAATGTCTGGCAAATTTTGTTCAACACCTTGGACCTGGCCACGAAAATGAGAAATATCATTGTTACGTGGGTATATTAAAAACTGTAACGTAAATCATCAATTTGCAAATATGAAAAACTGTTATAAAAAATAAAACAGTTGATTTACCTTGTAACATGTTCAACATCAGGTTTTATCACTAATTCCTTTAATACAATACAGTCGCAACGCAAAGAATAACAAGCCGAGTGTTCCAAACTAACTCTCGATTTGTTACAATACGAACCAAACAGTTTGCCCTCTTAACCGAAATTCTGTATTAACGTTTGACAAAAATCCCTTACGCTGACATAAAAGTCACTTGAGACTTATCTTAATGCAAAGAAAACACAACTTTAAACAGATGTTTTGAAAAAAACATTTCGTAACGTAACACTCTCGTTAATATGGAAGACTGCAGTATCACATTATCATCGACATTAAGCGAAAAAAATCTTCAACAATAGATATCGGTAATATCATTTTCAAAATTTATTCAGGAGATAATTAAATCTGTCATCAATTCACGTAACACTTCCATTTGTAAGGAGACTCCCCCACTGCGGTACAGTGTAAACGATGACACTGTAGGCATTGTAAACGATATTTGTTTTCTGTTATTTGATGCGCTGCTGTTCACGTAATTTTTCTATAGGTAATATGGTAAACTAAAAATAACGTTTTTATAAAGCCGAAAATTATATTCTTCTGAATAAACAAAAACGGTAAACCAAAAAACTGTTATTGAATAAAAGTTCCTCTTATAGTATCAGTTCACACTATTATACTAATATTATAATCAGATAAAAGTATTTTTTATATTTGAAACATGTAACTGAGAAACTGCTTTGAAAAATAAATTTAAAGAAAATCTACTAGAAAAGTAAAGAGAAATACTGAAATAATAAAATATCTGTTTAAAATTGTTAACTTAAATGTACACATTAAATATCTAGTTATTCATATTATAATTAAATTATTACCTTCATCTAAAATCCATTATATTTATTCCAATAAGTATATTACTTTTGTTACCCTTTTTTTTAAAAAAATTCAGAATAAATTAACCTATGAAATGAATGATCTTTACACTTTAACTAAGACTTACAAACCTTCATACATTTTATATATATAGCTTTAAAAATACAAAATTCAAAACAAATTGATTACCTCAAAACAAAGTCTATATTTCCCCTGTCAATTTCTATATGCACATGTATTTCACACTTCAAATCTGTTTGTTGACAATTCTTAATTTAAGAATGACTGCCAATAAAATTGTCAAAGTTTGCCAAGGACGGACGTGTGAACGACAGTATCACAGCCAGACAAGATACAGTCCTGTCATCCGATGTACAGCTGATGGAACTGATTGTATGCTTTTAAAGTAAGACATAAACATCCAATGGTCTATTATATCAACAAACTGGAAATCAGGTACTATTCTGTATTCTCTAAAACTGCCAATGGACAATGAATTTCTGGCATCAAGATTAACCGTATAATAACAGACAAAAATATTAGTGTCAATTTGATTATAATATCTAATTTTATAGAGATTGATACCTAATTTTCACTTATTAAAGGTTTGCTTTATGTAATATACATATGACTTAGGCAATATTACATCCATTTTCACAAGCAATGCATCCTGCCCCTTTGATATCAATTGCAATTGTGCCCCAATTTTATCCTCATTAACACACCATGGCTTTCCTGCTAGAATCTAATATTGATGTCAACCAATACTGGAACAGTGTTATTATGATGTAACTAAAGTTGTAACACCATTATCACTTTTTCGCAAGCGCAAAGAAGAAAAAGGCGGGAAGGAAAAATCCACTAAGCGTCAAAATTTTCAAATTGGTTGAGCATGATGTGACAATATTATGATAGGCCTGCTGTGACAGTGATAGAAACCTGTTACAATAAAACTTCCTTTTCCTTTTTTAATATCTGGGTAATAATAAAATTCAAAATATAAATACGTTTAAACTTTTGGAGACATTCAG